ATTATATAAAATCTAAAGAGAATATTGTGGATCCGTTAACTAAAAGTTTGACAAAAGAGTAAGTGTATAGTTCATCAAAGAGGATGGGATTAAAGCCTATTACATAAGAGTCATCATAATGGTAACCCTACTTATATGACTGGAGATCCCAAGAACTAAAAGAACAACTAAGTTATGTGTGGCTCACCAGAAATCACAAATGGATTTAAAATTCCCTACCCATTCCTATGATAAGAATGATATCTACAACATATGTTGTATGCATGGGTTTAAGGATAAGCTTTGCTTTTAATGATTACTTATATCTTGATTTAGGCATAAAAATCAAGATGAGTATAAGAGATACTCACAATAAAAATCACCTATATGAGTGTCAAACTAGGGCCAGTTCTATAAGAATGAAAAGGCTAAATTCTCTAGAAAAACTCATGAACAACCACGAGCGTTCAAGGCCAAAATAAACACAACCGTAATTACTACGATGCGTTAGAAGATATTTTGTGTAAAATTTATTGTCTTGGCTTACACAAATGGCTGAACAATTCAAGGCATCGCATCTATTGGTCAGCTAGTGAATCCGATAGGTTATCACTAGGGAAGGTTCAAGGTCGAAAGCTACGTATCCTGATACAAGATATTTTCGATTTATACTCTTTCGACAAATTCTGCATATTGTTGCATTTTCGTTGTCATCAAATTCCATTCATGTGAGGGATTGTAAGAAATGGTTTCGAGAAATTAGGTATTTTCCTAAACTTTGGTTTATTTTTAGGTGGGACTCATGCACCAAAGTTGGCGAGTTTGAGTGGTAACGCATTCTATGTCGCATTGTGATTCACGTGGTATATTTGGTTGCTCAAAACCATTATCGGGTGAATAGGACATTGAAGCAAAAGAGAGCTCCATGAAAATGGTATGTTGGTAAAGTTTCCTTAAAGGTTTGAACTAAATGTTTGTCCCACATTGGTTTGATGGGCAAACTTTTGTGGGTTTATAAGGCTTCAGTTTATAACTTGGGGAGGGCCCCAAGGGGCACCCCAAGTTTGTAGAAAGGAGAGGTTGTGGGAAAAGTGGGCTAGATCCATTGGATCCAAAAATAAACACACAAGCGCATGCCGCCGCCGCCGCCGTCAGTCCGGGCGGGCTAGGCTGGCCTGGGCTGGGCTTGGGCACAGGTACATAGTGTGAGGTTAGGTTAGGCTTGTCTGGCCCAATACTAATTCTTTTTGGGCCAAAAACATTTGAATTTTATTTTTCTAAAATTAAATTTTAATTTTTTAGAATTTGAATTTCGAAAATTAAATTCAAAAATTGGTTGTCACACCTGTCTAGTTTTTTTTCCCACCCGAACAAATGCATATCTATTTGAATTTAAACCAAACATATTCATATCTGTTTGAAATTTAAACCCAACAGGTTCCTTCCCTGTTCATTCAAACCGAATAGGTATAATACTTGTTCAAACAGGTTTGCACCTGTTTAATTCAAACCAAACAGCCACAAATTCTCCTATAAATAGATAGACCCTCATTTGGATTTTGCATTCAGAAAATTCATTCTTCCCTCTGTAATTACTCTCTACATTTTGCTGCATTTAATTTTCCTATGAGAAAAAGTAAAAGCACAAAGTGTGTTCACTGTACGAATAATTTGTAGTGCTGCAATTATTCGTTACTGATCATTTTATCCTAGGAGATAGACGTCCACAATCTGAAAGCACTATGAAGATGATGAATTTGTCTTAAGAACACAGTGTTAAATACTGGACTTGATCAAAATTTTGTTCAATAAATACATAAGGTTAGTAATTAATTTACTTTCTGTTTTATTTATTTATTTTTTATCAGATTCTGATTTTATTTTTGTAACAAAATAAGAATCTATTATTTTATTTTATTTTCTTTACTGGTTTGATTTTTGTAATCAAACAGACTCTCTCCTTTCTTTATTTTTTCTGTTTGTTGTTAAGTATACAAACTTTAACACAATGAAGATTGTCCTACAAATATGACATTACCTTGCGTGTCGTAGAATCATATCCACGACGTGCATTGGCACAGTAAAAACACTTTTTTGTTATAGTGTCAATCATGAACATATATGTATACACATTATATATTCTATATATACATCATACATACACAAAATTTGGTGCAACAGTTAGGAAGTAATGGAGGAATATGTTGCACAGTAGTAAAAGCACTTGATACAAGTAGTTGCATCCCAACCTATATCGTACAATATTGTTCATTTTCAACCAGAGCTACACGTCTTTATTAAGTAAAGGATCACAACTCACTGTCTCACACTTATAATTCATGCAACACGGCCATGTGAGACTTGGTACACGTCTACATATACAGACCATTGCAACAATCACCTCCTATCGCATATGTGGTTTGTCGAGTTTGTCACTCAAGCTTTGTGAATTTTCGAAGACCTAATACAACCAATACCTTCTTTTAGTGAGGTGCTCACACGTCCTAGCTCAAGGTGCCCCACAAAGTAGCCCACTATACACATCTTGATGTAGCTTGCAAACTCTTCATCAAGTTTCCATACCTCCCTCACTCGAGGTACCACACACACTACATTTTTCAAACCTATTGTGCGTAACCGCAAAGATCATATTTAAGAGTAATTTATTTACCACTCTCAGCAACCCTAGAGAATTTGCACGAACGTCGGCCAACCCACTCTGAGCGACTTAGCAATCCCTTTTAGTAGAGGGATTAGCTTGGCTGGAAAACGAGTGGGATTAAGAAAATAGTGAACAGTTTCAGTCTATCAAGTCATTCGCCCGAATGCCTTGCCGAACATCTGATATAGTGCAATTTTTTTTAAAAAAAATTTTTAAAAACATAGTTGGCCAACCAAAAAACATTCGGCCGGACAAAAAAATAGTTGGCCGGCCAACTTCTTTTTTTTTTTTTTTTTAACCCAAGTGCACCTTTTGTTTTAATATTTACTTTAATTTTTTAATTTATTTTATTTGAAAATAATTTAACAACCCCAGCATTAATTATTTCTCATACTATTATCAAAATAAACACACTTTTACTTGATTCTCTCACTAACAATTCCTACATTAACAATCTCTTCATTAATCATACCTCACTAACAATTTCATCCAACCTAATCCGTCAAATAAACGTAGCCATATACGATTAAAAAGTAAAAATGCATGAATCTCTTCTATCCATCACTTACAAACTCAAACTTTTAAGCGGATATTAATTCTAAACAAGTGTTTTGGACCTTAGTGTTGCATATGTGTACACCTCAATTTCTTTAATTTCATTCAGCATGCTTGGTTAGAGTTTTCTAAAAATTCTTTTCAAAAAATTTTACTTTCTTATTTTTCATTTTTTTTGTTTTTATTAAATTTTTTAATATTTTAAACAATTTTTTTTTTATTTTTTGGACATACCACTTTATATTCAATTCCTTACCTGCTGAAATAGGAGCCTTGTACACTGGGCAGTGGGTTTTATTCAATTTATTGAATCAACTCCCAGATAAAGGTGCATCTAAAAAAATAAAAAATATATATATTTAAAATTTTAAAATTTTAAATATATTCACTAAAAATAAAAAAATATATAAAAATTAAAAAACTAAATTTTTAAAAAACTTAATTCAAAAAATTCAAAACAAACACATTGATGGGCACTCACAATAGTAAGACAGAGGCTTTAAGCCCCCTGGCTTCAAGGTTGACATAGCACTTGAACCTACAGCATTGGCAAGTTTCAGTGTAAGCATTATATGCGTCATATGCCTCAACTATATGAATGATTTTGAATTCTATATAAAAAGATGTTACTATAAACAAAATCATAAATATGTATTAAAAAAATGTATGAAATTTGAAAATGATATACAAATGTATTAAAATGTTTAAAATATGTATTAAAAAAATATTAAGACAACTTGATTGTGAATTTCATAAAACTAAAATCATAAAATGATCAAGCTATTCAAGTTTGATGTTTAACTCGTTAAAATTTGTTTGAGATTAATTTGATTTATAAACAAGTTAAATATAAATATTTTTTAAGTTCCAAAATTTTCTTTTTTGGCCCAATAAATTTATATACATAGAGAAATGATATAAAAAAATTAGTCATTCAAACTTATTTCAATTGGTAAGGTCAAAAAATAAACAAATTGATTTTAAAATAATATTTGAGAGCTCGAATTTGCCCCCCCTAATCCCCTAATCTCCAAAACGACGTCGTTTTGGAGATTTTTTTTTTCTTTTCTTTTCTTTTTTCTTCTTCCATGTTCGACTCTGCAACAGCTCGGAGGAAGCGGGAGAGGGAGAGAAAGAGAGTAGAAGAGGGGAAGAGAGAAGAAATCGTCACCCAGCACGTCGCCGCCGATCGCCCAGCCCGTCGCCGCCGTCACCCAGCTCCGATCGTCGCAGCAGCTCCGCCGTCGCCTCCGGCCCCGCCTCCGCCTCCTCCCAACTGTTATGGCCCCCTCCAGTCCACTCCTCCTCCTCCTCCTCCTCCTTCCTCTCCTCCTTCTCTGCTTCTGAAAAAAAAAATCAAGATTAGAGAGATTCGGGAGAACTCGTTTTCGAACTCCCTAACACGGTCGTTGATTTTAATTATATATAGCCTCCGTTTGGGAAGTGGGTTGGCTTTTTGACTTTTTGACTTTTTTGACTATTTTAGCCTGGGCTAAAAAGCATGGTTTGGAAAGGGCTTTTTGGCTTTTTGACTTTTTTGACTTTTTTTGTGAGAGAAGAATATAATGATTATAGGTTGGATGTGATGTTTTGTTTGTTATGGCTAAAATAACCTATTTTGTTTTTTGTGACTGAAATAGTCAAAAAAGTCTGAAAAAGCCCAGGCATAGTAGTATTTTTTAATAATTTGTTAACATGTTAAATTTTCAAATTGACTACTCTTGACCTTCTTATTCTTGTGCACATGAACTACCCATTGAATCACAAACAAAAACATAGAAATAGAAACAAAAACACACCAAGATTAACTTACACAAAAAAGAAGAACAGTACATTAACACATTCAAAAAAGACCAAATAAGTACAAACCCAAAGACTGAAACTAGAAATTCTCCCTCAGCCAAGTATAGAAGAAAAAAACACCAGCCGACCAAGATACAGAGATCTTTCCATTATTTATAAACATAACAACTACATAAAACCTTTCAAATGACTGACCTTCCTAACTTAAATTCACCTCTACAAATGTCAAAAAACCCATTTGCAGAAGCTACTTTAGACACCAAATTACAAGTACAGACAACAAAAAAAGGAAAATTACAAAGTGCTAAAAAAACAGAGGTTACAATTACACAAAGTGAGTGAAGAAAACAGATATACTAGAGAGCAGACCAATCAATTTCAATTGAAGGAAACTTCTCCAACGTGAAATTCTCCGATTCGTCGAATGAAGGCTCTGAGAAATCCAGGAAAGTGATATCGGATTCCGGCGAAGACCCTGCCGATGATTCGTCAGACAGTGATGGCGACGATGTCGGCGAGGCCTCTACCTTGAAGAAGATATCATCCGATCCTGTATAACCCAGTTCACTTTTCGTCGAATTATCAGAGAAATTTTCAGTTCTTGGCATCGAGAACTCTGTTGAAAGCTCCCCTGAATTCCCCTGTTTCTGTGAATTGGCAAGGCTCTGGCAAATGGCTTGGAGCTTCGCGTCGACAGAGGAATGGAGAGGCTTGTAATCAGCTAATTGGTGGCGAAGATTAGGGAAATTGAGTCTCGCAAAGTCTCCACGAAGCTTGTAAGCTGCTCTGTCATAAGCCAGGGCAGCTTCTTCAGCAGTATCAAAAGTGCCCAACCAAAGACGAGTTCGATTCTTGGGGAGTCTGATCTCTGCAACCCATTTACCCCAATGACGCTGTCTCACTCCCCGGTAGAGCTTGGTTGGCTTCGCCGGAGTTCCGACCTGCTTCATTGGGATTGGTTTGGGGCCAAGAAAACCAGAGGATTGTTGTTTTTGTCCAAGGGTTTGGGTGTGGATTGATGAGGCTGCTGCTAATGAAGCTAAGTAGTGTTGTTGCTGTTGTTGGAGTTGAATTTGAGCTTGGATTTGAAGGATTTGAGATGGGGTGAGGTGGTTGGGTCCAATAGGACCTGATTGCTCAAAACCCATTTGGTCATGGCTCGAGAACCCTTGAGAAAACACGTGGGTTGTCGATGGGGATGGGGATGAGCTAAAACCAGGGTACATGTTGGGCTCCGACGAGAGAGAAGAGTAAGGAGAGCCAAAAGGGTAATAGGAGGAAGAAGAAGAGGAGGTAGAGGGTGGAGAGAGGGAGGAAGTAGAGTGAGAAGGGGAGGGGGAAGAAGGAGAGGAGGAGGTGGTGGTGATGGTTGATGAGGCACTTTTCATAAAAGGCTCAAGTGCTTTCATAAACTCACCCCTGAAGGGATCTGAGAAAATTGGGCTGCTGCTACTGTATGTATTATCTATAGCTGCTGCCATGACTTCTCAACAAAGTTAGATACAAAAATAAAATATTATAGAGAGAGAGAGATAAAAGTAGAAATTGCAAAGTGCAAGAAAGAGATTTGAAAAAAAAAAGAAATAATCTAAGTACCAACCTGTTTCTTATAACAAAATTAAAGAACAGGCAAGAGTTCTACGCAAACTGAAGGATCAAAGAGGTTTAAAAATAACTAACCTTTTGTTATCCTTATAAAGAAAAGAAATTAAACACCAAAAGCAACCAGAGAGACAGAAAAATAAACCCTCTTAGTTGTTTTGTTCAAAGAAAAAAAAACCAGAAATTTATACCAAGAAAAAACCTGGATCTCTATTCTGAATCGCCTGACTTTCAAAAACACCCTTACGGGTTTGCTTCTTTTTTCTATGCTTTTTGAGTGTGATTTTAATGAGCTTTTCAAATTCAAGAAAAAACAAACCGTGAAATTGAAGTTTTTGAAGACAGAAGATGACAGAAAGGGATTCAGAGAAGCGGGGTGATTAGAGAGGGGGGCTTGAGAAAAAAGAAGAGAAGATGATGAACACACACTTTGTTTATGTGACCTCACTCTGTGTTTCACTCCTGCATAATAAGGTCACCCACTCTGTCCTTATATAATGCCCTGACCAATCCCCCCACCTTTCTCTCTCTTCATCTCATTTCCAAACTCGCGTGTTCTCTCTCTACTCTTTTTTTTTTTTTTTTTATAATTATTAGCTAATTTGAGAGTACTGCATCGTTAGCCTAGCATAGGATTAAAGAAAAAAATAAAGATTTGGAAATTGGAGCTGTAAAAGAAAAGTTTTAATGGTGTTAGGTTTTATAATGATGTGATATTTGTATTTTATTTTATTTTTATTGTCAAAGTCATTAAAATTTTGTTTAGAGTTTTCAAATTAGAGGGGTGAATTATTTTTATAAAATTAAAAAATTAAAACAGTCATAAAAAGATAAAATAAATTAAAAAATTAATAAGATAAAATGTCATATTTAAATCATAATCGTTTTACTTTTTTTCACAAAAGTAAAAAAATCAAAAAATCTAACCCAAATAAAAATTTTAATTTCATACTAAAATAGCCAGAAAATTAAAAAATCAAAAAATCAATTCACATCTCAAACAAATCCTTACATAATTTTCTTTGATAAGTAAAAATTCATAAAATATGGGTTGCTTTGGGAAAATAATTAAAAGTTGGTTTTTTAGTTTTTTTTATTTAAAAAAAATGTAAAAATTGTTAGAAATGATGTGACCTTAAATGAATTAAAAACTAAAAGATAATTTTTAACCATATTTCTAAAATAACCCTATATTAGTTGATTTATTCTTCAGAGTTTGAATTCTACCACGTTAAGAGAGCATTGAGATTTGGTGGACGTAATTTAGGTTGAATTTAATTATTCAAATCATTTATTTTTTAAAATTTATTGAACAAAATATTTTTGTAAAAAATAAAATGATTGGACATTAGTAAAACACTCTATGCCATTAATAGCATGGGATACATACTATATATACTTGCGTAATTTCTCACAAATATATATAAGTTGTCTCATACAATCGTGTAAATTCTTATAAATATACATAAGTTAAGATTTCTCAAATTTTTATAACTACTCTTCTATACAATAATAAATTACTGAATTATTAATTAAAATATATTTCTGAAATCATTAAAAATATTTAATTGATTTGATAATTTATTAATAAAAATAATCATTTGTTATGCCACATTTTCAATATCAACAATGATTCATCCCACTAAAACATCACCACTAATAGCACTAATGCATTAAAAAAGTAAAAAAAAAAAAAATACAATTCCAAGACCAAAACATCACATCATTAATGGCGAAACCCACTGCCACCTAATTAGTGGGAGCACTAATTAGTGCTCCCAAGCATTTTTCTTTCAATATTAACAAGTGCTATAAAGGCACTTTCTAACATTTTTAATTATGAGTCTTTCTAACAAATGGCCATATGCCACAAGTAAAAGACCAAAAAAGATTAAAAAATATAAAACACTTTATGTTAAATTTAATATATTTTTATTGAAATTAATATATGTTTAAAAATTTATATATTTTTAAAATATTTTTTTACACATTTTTCAATATTAAATAATGCCTAAAAATACTTGTTAGCATTTGTCTCAAATTATTCATTCTACTTTTTATGTAAAATTTAAATGAGAAATCCATAATATAAAAATTAATATTGGGTATATAGAACAATGCACGAGAAAATAAGTAGAAGAAAAAAAAAATTAGCATTAAAAAAATCTTAATACTCTTGAAAAAATTAAAAAAAAAAATATGAAACGCAAAATTGATATTTGATTTGTGAATTATCTCAATTTATCATGAAAAATATATTAAAAAATATTTATCAAATATAATTCATATAAAATAAGTAAAGTCAGTATCATTTAAATTAGGTTGGAATTGTATAAAACTCAATATATAATTAAGAAAAATTATACTAATATGACTCTTTTAAAAAAAATCTTTGTAATCTGTCACTTGAGTATGAGAAAAATATTATTTTTAATATAATATATATTATGTGTAGTAATTTTTTTAAAATTTTTAACATGTTAATTAATGGGTATATAACATATTATATTGATTATTGTTATTTATTTTTTCATTACTTAATTGTCACTTCATGGATGCCACTAGTCGATGAAGGCCAGCCAATGGCACAAAAGACTCGTTCATGAACAGTCCAATTATTGACCGCCGATTTTTAGTGGCTTAGCCGCGCATGTGTACGTGGCGAGAGATGATTAGTTAGAGGATTTTGTTGACTCTTTATGCCCCCGCATAGGCTTTCGGAATTTAATGAGTGTTTTGTCTTTTATAGCACGCCTGAGGCTCTGACTTCAATGATAATTGATCACCAGGCAGGACTCCTACGTTTCGCGGTCCACCATACTAAAATATCACAACTAGCTTGGACCGTTTGATCAGTATCAAAGTGTAAACATCATTCAGATGTATTTTGGATGAAAAATGCGTTTTATTTATTTTTATATTTTTTTATCATTTTCCTTTTATATTTTTTATTATTAAAATTTGAAAATGGAAATTATTTGGCTGACTACTCTTGAAATTTTTTTTCTAAAAGCACCTATTTTGTGGAAAATACTTTTACATTAATTTTTAAAAAATTTAAAATTACTATGATACAAAAAAAAAAATATAATTTGGTTTGGTTTGATTTTCAGAATTTATTTTTTGAAAATATTTGAAAAAAAAAATTAAATATTAATTTAGTAAAAATAATAATAAATCAAAAACACTTGTCATTTGTCATTTTTATGCGGTTCCGCTTTTTTGGAGACGAGGAATAATTTTAAAATTTAAAATGTATCAAATTAATTTTTATTTTTAATAAAAAATTTAAAAAATTGATTTTGAAATTGGAACCGAACAAAACCATAAGTGTTTTTTTTTTTTTCCACTTTTGAGTTTCTAAATAGATGAAAAATATATTCCAAACGTGATTCATAATTTTTCCTCTATTACAAAACGTTGTATGATGGATTCAACAATTTGTTAAATTACAATGGTATTTATATTAATCTTATGTTTTTTCTCATTTTAATCTCTCACAACAAAAGTATGAGAGATTAAATATAGAGTGCGAGTACTATTTCTCTTTATTAAATAATGAAATTGTTGATCCACTAAAATCCATTTTTCCTCTCTTGTAGCCTAACATTTCCCTTTTCGTATCATCCTTATCCATACCAGCCACTAATCAAAAAGCTTTACTTTATTTAATTTGATAATTAATACAGAAACTAATCATTGTATAATAAATAATAATTTTATGATGGTTAAATTTTAAGTTATGATAATGATTTTGTTAAGAATTAAATATTGTTAAAAAAAAGTTTGAATTCTAATACATAATTTACCTATTTTAATATTTTTTATACATATATCAAATAATATCAAAAAGTTAGAATTCTGAGCCTAATGGCCTTTTTTTTGGCAAGCTCGAGTCAGCCAAAATTCTTGGGCGGGTTTGGCTCAGATGAACTCACAAACTTAGCCCAATGTGCTTGAATTTAAGGTCTATTTTTGTATTTTTTTTCTTTACATTTTTAGTTTTTCCCTTACTTTTTTCATAATTTTAGTGAGCCCGCAAGCAAGCCCTGTTGGGAAACTTTCAAAAAAATGAATTTTCCGAATTTATTGTTTAGTTTCGGTTGTTTTCAAAATCTTTCTTGTTTTTTTTTTTTAGAAAGCTTGAAATAAACTTGAAGATTTTGTCCTACATTGGAAAGAGAGCAAAACATGAAATACTTAATAAAGTGTTACATGGAAAGCCTAACATTTCCCTTTTCGTATCATCCTTATCCATACCAGCCACTAATCAAAAAGCTTTACTTTATTTAATTTGATAATTAATACAGAAACTAATCATTGTATAATAAATAATAATTTTATGATGGTTAAATTTTAGGTTATGATAATGATTTTGTTAAGAATTAAATATTGTTAAAAAAAAGTTTGAATTCTAATACATAATTTACCTATTTTAATATTTTTTATACATATATCAAATAATATCAAAAGGTTAGAATTTTGACCTACATTTTAAGCCTAATGGCCTTTTTTTTGGCAAGCTCGAGTCAGCCAAGATTCTTGGGCCAAACCCTCTCTAACGGGTTTGGCTCAGATGAACTCACAAACTTAGCCCAATGTGCTTGAATTTAAGGTCTATTTTTGTTTTTTTTTTCTTTACATTTTTAGTTTTTCCCTTACTTTTTTCATAATTTTAGTGAGCCCGCAAGCAAGCCCTGTTGGGAAACTTTCAAAATGGATTTTCCGAATTTATTGTTTAGTTTCGGTTGTTTTCAAAATCTTCCTTGCTTTTTTTTTTTAGAAAGCTTGAAATAAGCTTGAAGATTTTGTCCTACATTGGAAAGAGAGCAAAACATGAAGTACTTAATAAAGTGTTATATGGAATATTCCTTTAATTATGGAATTGTAGGATGGATGCTAGTATGCATGCACTCACACCGCAAGGATGCACCATCCGCACACACGCACGTGGCGTAGGCAATGGGCTTTGTGGCATTTGATGGCGCACTTAGCACATACGCATCGGCACCATAAGGGCATTTTCCTATTTACATCGGACAGGTTGGAGCGATGACGCCGATCCAACGGTCTGATCTGATCGGATGTAATTAAGAGACATGACCATTGATCAGATGCATCAAGACCTATAAATAGGCTGTGAAATTAGCCATTTCAATCATCTAAAATTTAGAAAGCATTCCTGCAATTCTCTTTCTCTTCCTCTCTTGATTTAGAGTTTTCGATCAAAAGTTTCTTAAGTAAGTTTCTGTTTTTCTTACTGGTAATCAAATTCTGCAGATTTGATTATCAATAACTTAGTTTTTTTGATTGTATCAAGAGTATTCTGATCTGCTGTCATTAGTGCAAGCGCCGGTAGACTTAATCATTAAATCAGGCTTCATTGTATTTTGGAGGCGAATTTGCTATAACCCCCTGCACACCTTTCAGTAGATGCAAATATTGTCTTTAGGAAAGTGACTAAGTAATGCAACTTG